AGAGTTACTCTCAGCGGCCGAGGTGGTTTCCCTCGGCCGTTGAGAGTATATACCCTCGACGGCCGAGAGGATTCCGGCTCTCGGCCATCGAGAAGGTGATCTGAGTGGCCGGGAGGAATCCTCCCGGCCGCTTCCGTGGGTATTTTGTTCCGCCGACCCCCAAACCCTGGTCGGTTTTGGAGGATCGACTCCTAAACCGACCGGGGGATTTTTTTTTTTTGAATATTATCTTTTGGGGAGTTGACTCCCAAACCAGTCGGAGGTTTTGGGGGTTCAACTCCCAAAATTCAGGGATTCCGGGGCTTGGGAGTTGGCTCTCCATTTTTTGGGAGTCGTTTAACCAAGCCCCTTTTGAAACTTTGTTTTTTGTTTTAATTTTTTAATATTCATTTTTGGGACCTATTCTGCATCACTTGACCAAGTCTCATGATTTCACTTTTGTGCTTTGAAGCTCTAGAATCCAACATGAGCAGCCAAAAATAATGGTCCACCCACTGTGTAAGACTGATCCTATATTTTTTTCAATAAGCCCCCTAATAGATGGATGATGCAAAATGTATGTGAAGTGGGCCATGTTGAGAATAAGGCCTCTTATAATTTATGCATGCTTTTGAATCAACCATCTAATAGATAGGATGTCACACCTGAGGTTTCACAAGGGGTACAATCATCTGATCTGGACATTGATGACACCCACCTTCCCAAGTTGCAATCCATAGAGCATGCACATGTGGAATTAAGTAATTAAAGAAAGCGACTTGCAAAGAAATGGACATTACAGAATACAGGTAACACTAGGCCAATCTGATTGACATAAATGCTATGCATTTAACAAAGAAACTTAACTTGGTTCACAGTGTAAGTATTATAAATAGGGGCTTGGTTAAACGACTCCCAAAAAATGGAGAGCCGACTCCCAAGCCCCGGAATCCCCGAAAAATGGGAGTCAAACTCCCAAAACCTTCGACAGGTTTGGGAGTCGACTCCCTAAAAAAAATAATAATAAATGAAATTCCCCGGTTGGTATAGGAGTCGATCCTCCAAAACCAACCGGGGCTTGGGGGTCGATGAAACAAAAGACCCCCACAGAAGCGGCCGGGAGGATACCTCCCGGCCGCTCAGATTACACACCAATGGCCAAGAGGAATCCTCTTGGCCGTTGAGATTCTGCTCTCAGCAGCCGAGGCGATTTCCCTCGGCCGTCGGCCGTCAAGAGTATACACCTCGGCCGTCGAGAGCGTACTCTCAACACCGCAGAGGACTCCCCTCTCCTATCTCCGTAGAGTATATTCTGGACGGCTGGGAGTAATCCTTCTGAATACATAGGGCTGCTCTTTGGTGTCCAAGGGCCCACAATCCCACCATCCATGTCGAGGATCTAATCTTAAAACCTACCGAGGGTTGTCACTGAGTACTGGGTTATTTTCAGTA